TCAGCAGGCAAAACTTTTATTTCATAAACTAAAGCTTAAATGAGCTATCAGAGAAGCTATATCTGACCTGTCAAAATTTCACCAAGACAAAAACAAAATGCAATTTCATCTGTGGAGCTCAAACAAGAGATGAAGAATCCTTTCCCTTCTGTCTCAAGAGCTGATCACCTTAAGATCAGTTCTACCAGGTGTGTTTAACTTGGAAAACCCAATCCTGGTAAGGGAGAAATGCAGATGTCTAGAAAACAGCGTAAGAGCATGTGATACTTCATATTTAACAGCTCTCACTTGACTCCTGTTACGTGAATGTATCCATTGTTTTTTTATGAATAGGTAAACTCCTAACATCCACAACATCCTGCACCAAGGAGTTCTGTGTCTCACGTACAGAAATGCTTCCTCTTATTTATTCTGGATCTCCCACTTTCCCATTTCATTTTACATCCCCCACATCTTTCACTTCAGAAGGCAGTTTACAGTTCCCTTTTCCATGTGACTCACAATTGCATAGATTTCCATTATAAAACTGAACAGTGGACTTGTACAGATGCACATCAATTTGAATTTCTTCTTTGGTTGTCTCTGCCTACATTGAACTTAAGGTGCTCATTAATCACCTGTCACTCAGAACTGGAAAGGCTTGCTTCAATCCTTTGCCATAAATCTGTCTTCACTATCCTAAATAACCACAGTGTTGTGAGACTCTCGTTTAGAAGTAAAACAGCCTTCTTGAGCTACAGAAGAGAACAGTGTTGGAAATTTCTGCCTCTTCTGCAGCAAAATCAATTCCCCGTATACGTGAATTAAAACCAGTTTTAAAATACTTTCTTGTGGCTTCCACTTCTTTTGCCAGACTTGATAACAATTAAACAGCTGATGCAGTGTTCTCTTTTCCCTTGCAATTAATACTTAATTCCCCTTTCCATCATTTTCTTGGAAACAAAATTAATACTTGGTGTTTAAGGATGCCGTATTAGATATTTATTAAAGTATCTTTCGATTGAGTTGCAGTTACTGCAGTATAGATCCAAATGAGGCTTATTGTATAAACATTTTATTTGGCTACTTCATGATTTAGTTGGAACCACTGTATCATACCTTAAATCTCCATCTAGTAACAACTACAAACTTGAGCGTGTGGTCCTTGCCAAGAATCTCTTCATTGCATAATATGTCCAGCTGACAAAACAAAGATGACAGTTAATTCACAGGGAAACAGTACTTGAAACAACATATTTCAAATAATGCTACAAATGTTTGAAAAGGTCTTTTTCTCTGAAGACACTGGAACCGTTCATCTTGAAGTTGCTCTGCAGACAAAAATAGTACCAGGAAAGGAGAGTGTCTTTTCTCAACATAATGTGCCGAAAGACCATGTCTCTGCCCACCTAGGAAATACAGGGTGAACTGGGCTTAACTGATTTAGCTTCCCAAGCAATACTAATGACCTTTCTTGAAAAGGAAGATACAGTTTTGTTTCAGGAAGACCAGCAAGAGTTTGGGGACATAGTCCAACCATAAGACAGAGTGTTGGTTTGAAGTATACAGAAGATAGGAAGAAAGAGCGATACAAATACAAATTGGCTGTTGACAAGTTTGAGCAGAAAAGTACTGACAAATTGGACTGGAAAGCAGATGATTTGATTTGAATGAAAAGTCTTAATGAAATTCAGTGAATCAGTGACATAATGTGGGGCTGGGAGATGTCAAGCTGAGAGTCAATTGAGATGTCTAGACACGGTGACCAAGACTGAGCAAAGTGGTAACCAGAGGCTGCATTCATATGTTTGCCCCTGTTGATTTCAAATCTGAACTAGGAGAAGTGCGAAGAATTGCCTTTCTTTCTGTACCTTTCATCATAAATTCTTCCCATGATTCCAAGTATTTCCTGCAAAAGAAGGGTAAAGTAGGTATCTGATAACACACTGCTCGTGGTAGGCAGCGACTTCGGGTCGATCTTCACTGAGAGCATAGAAAGGAACAAAGTATTTGTGCTGCTTTCTCTTAAACTGGCCTTCAGTAGTGTTAAAGTGTTTGTTACTGCCTGTCCCCTGCACTGAGTGTGAAATCTCTGAGACGGTACGGTATACCTGACTACAAGCTGTCAAACAGAGCACCTTGCCAGAGTCCATTTCAATACATGTGGAAGTACATAACCAAGCCTTTTAGCACAACTATTTATACATGGACATGAAAAGATGCACTGCAAACTAAGTCGCAAATCCTTACAGACCCAAGAAAATGGCTCCATAACATATAATTCAAGAAATGGTGTATGCTTCTGCTTTCTAAAAATAAAATCACACTAAAAGACATTCCTTTGCAAAGGAACAATCCCACAATTTTGTAAGGTTTTTGTAGCTGCAAAATAATTTTTAAAAATTAAAATATTACCTCATTAAAAGAAGAAAGGTTAAGTTTTTTGGCAATGAACTTTTTCAGATGCAAGACAGTTGCTTGTGCTGAGCAGCGGATCCATTTTCGTTTCAATCCACGCAATTTGCTGCTATTGCATTCCAAGCAGATGCTTACCTTCAGGAAAAAGCAAACAGTTAGGGTTGGCTGCCGCAATTTTCTGCAGTCCTCATTGTGTATTCCATATGCAGGTTTTATTAATACAACAAAATGAAACAGTACTAGTATTCCTCAAATTTAAATGCTTATATTCCTATAAAGAAAACATTTTCTAATATCTTGTTAGTTTAGTGGTAAGCACTACTGCAACCAAAATGGATCTAGACAAAAAAGTTCAAGAAAGAGTTCTTGATGTTGTAACAAGGCTGCTCCAGTCCACATTCGTAGGCTGCCAATAGCTCAAGAGGACCCTATGTTAAAAGCTAGAGTAAGATAAACAGTAAGAAGACAATTGCCAATTTTTAATGATTGATTCTAATGTAACTTCTTGCTTTTAATGCAACTGCTAAATCCAGTTTAAAGCAGAATTTTAACACAGGTCTAAAAGAGAATTTAAAAGAATGGATACAAATGACATAACAAAATTTTAAAATTCTAAAGATTATTCCCAAAAAAAGTCTAATTTCTATGCTTCAATTCTCACTTCTTTTCTCATCCAGCTATCCATTACTTAGTCTAAGCTATCTGTGATGATTTACTTTATGCACTGAGAGGATCCAGTACTAGGTGCAATTTCTTTGAAACTTCCCTTATATTACAATTGAAAAGAAATTAATCCAAATTTAATTTACTCTGGACACACATAACAGGAACACATAAAGGGGATGGCTTGTTTATCCCAAAAGCAGATTTCATTTTCAAACATGCTTTGTGTTTAAAACTTAATGGTGAACTTCCCAGCTTTCATACTATTTTTATGGTATAGGGCTTAGTAGTAGAGGTTTAAAACAGAATAAATAGTATGTTAGTAAAAGTGCAAAAGCTTTTATTCATCATTATTGTTACACATTCAGCTCAATGTATCACAGTAACACTGGGATACACTCCTTCAGAATGGGGGGCAAATAACCTGAATTTGTTTTGAAAGCAAATAAATACCTTGGAAACTCATAAACAAGCAGTCAGAACTATCCAATCTTAATGAAAATGTCTTGAATATACTCTCCATTCCTGCCAAAACCCAAAGATGAAACTCATGCTTACACAAAAGCATTAGGCAACACTGCATCTTGTTTGTATCAGAGGACAGAAAAAGTACCTTGAAACACTTATTTTTCTTCTCTGTTAGCTTACCAAAGCACTAAAGCTAACATACAAGATAAAATTAAAACATGCCCTATGAGCTCACTTGTTCATCACTTCGGTGGTAGTCATTATCTTCTTCCTGTTTTTCCTCAGAAGTTTCTTTGTTTGAATTTTCATCTGGTTTAGTTTCACCTTAAATAAGAAACAAGATATATGGGATAACACTCAGCAGCAGCTTGTAATACTAATATGATTAAAACAGCACAGCTCAGGACTGCAATACAGAATAAACATTGCTTTTCCTAAATTGTGCTTATCAGCTTAGGTAACACTAGCTGCCAACAGCCCCACGTGTGAAAGAGAGCAATACATACAGAGCACAACCTTCAGTTGAACTGCTAGCAGCCAAGAAGCTGGGTAATTCCAGAGAGTCCCCATGGAGGCATTACTATGGAGACCTCCTTCACCAAGAGTAACATGCTACGATCAGCTAAAAGAAAAAAATTCTGTGCACTAATAAGGGACAAAGCAACAATCCTACACTCCCTGTAACTGTACTGTGCAACGTTATAAAACAAGCATGATTGTAATAAACCAGCTAGGCACACACCTCCAAGAGGTCTGTCTGTTCATCAATTAGCCGTCACCCACCCAACAGAATAAATAAAGGACCATTTACCATTTCGATGGGAATCCAGGTGCTGTTTTGTAGAACATGTCTCCCCTTTGATGTCCCCTGGAACTTCCATGCCCAGCTTGTGATAAAACTCCCTTTGCTTTTTCATTTCCGCTGTTTAAAATTGTAAATATTAATCCCTGTAATAAAGTTCTAATGCAATATTTAAGAAGTTATCCCAAATCCCTTCCCTCTGAAGTGAAACAGGCTTGCCAACAAATAGTGATATTGTCAGTCTTACTACTCTTCTATCTTCGGTATTGTATCAAGTCATGCCTGTATTTTTCAGAGTTGAAATACTACAAAGTCATCTGTATAGCTACTATTATAGCATTCATATTAGAATGAGATAGTATTTAAAATACTATACCTTATTTTGAATCCCTCCCACAATATTTCAGTCAGACCATTTTTATTTTATAATTCTGATTTTCAATACGCTAAAAATAATTTATAAATAATCTATTTAATCTTATTGATGTTTGAGAATGTTTTGGTTTTGCAGCTTAAATGGATTAAAATACTCTACTTGAAGTTGTAACATACATTAAGACAATTACTGAGCAATTACTGTAAACTACTTCTTTAATATAAACAGATTCAGTCTCAAACAGGATTATGAAAACACAAATTAGAAGTTACCTGCTAATAGAGGGCTCACACAGTAGCAGAAACTTCACTGAAACTAAAAGCTGTTCTGCATTACATTCTACCTATGAGAATTCTGGAAAGCTGGCACAACAGGTTTAAGTACACAGTTTAACAAGAACAAAAGGTTACAGTGTGCCAACATTCAAAAGCTGAACTACCATTCTGGTTTTTTTTTTTGTATTTTGTGAAGAAATATTCCATCTTTCCTCCCACCACTCCCCCAGTTGCTGCTAGTACAGGTATGAAATTAATCTGAATATCAATTGTACTATTAATTGTACTACCTGTACTATTAATTTAGAAATGACAGAAATGAAGCAATATGGTTTTCCATTGTATTTTTCCTCAGTTCCTCCCTCTGCATTTTCATCACACATCCTCTCCCCCCCTGTATTTTTTTTTAAGTATTAAAGAAGTATGTGCAAAACAACCTCTAAAAATTCATACCACAACTTACCTTCTTGGAGGCCTGGCACAAGTTTGTAAACAATATCTTGCATTGTTCTGTCATGACTAGCAAGAAAAAAGCAAAATCAAATGTTTAAGTCAACCATCTTCATTCAAAACTTTTATCTTAAAAATAGTTCCAGTACTAAATTGATGTAAAATCTCCAAATTCACCTAAGAAGAATTTCAATCGTCAAATCAGTATTTATATCAAACAAGAGAGGACAGTAACACAAAATGAATTATGAAAATGTACAGGCTAAGACAGAAACCTAATGGAAGCCTGAGGAAGAATAGTCTTGGACATGTGGAGGATGACACCCCATGGAACCCCATTCTGGTGCAGTCTAAAGTAAGTCACTGGTCACTGTCTGAAATAAACAAAATATGACCCTAACTTCCAAGTGATAAATAAAATCAGAAACATTTAAAATGTCTGTCTCAGCTGCTGCAATGTCATCACCCCAACAGAGCTTGCAATAGCAAAGCCTGAACTGACTTAAATAGGAGAAGAGGCTTACAAGAGTAGTCTCAGGCTTCTTATCACCTGATATGAGCACTTCACAGCAGTGGAGACAAGTGAACAAGTACAGAAATGGTGACAAATCAAGAGATTTACAATCAACCATTACAATCTTTTAAGCAGCACTACAAGAAGAATCAAAATATCATTGATGCTAAAATTCCTGTCATTTCAACCAGTAGCAATCCCATTTGCATAGGCTGGGATTTTCAAGAGTCATACATGGATTGCAGGAATATCTCCAAAAATATTTCAACATAAATGAGTAAATCAGCCATCACTATTAGATCAGAGGTAAGAATTTAACAGCATTCAGTAATGTGAAATACCAGACACATTTGGTTTACCTATTTTCCAGATAGAAGAAGATGAATAGGAGTGCAAATCTACATTCTAAGACATATTGTGAAACTACTGACTACTGATTCTTTATTTAAAAAAAAAAAATTAAAAAAAAAAATATCCAAAAGTAGACTGCTTCAGTCTTGAAGGGACAGTATTTTATAACTAGTTCAGGCAACATACTTCCTTTGAAGTATATTCAATCACCAAAAACAAGTGACAAATTCCTTTCTAGTTGTTCTCAATTTGATGCTTTCTCCTGGCCCCTTTTGGCACAGAAAACAAGCTTTGAACCAAGGCACTGGCGTATTCCTGTAGCTTTACAGGAAACAAACATGCTGGTTTAAGTGTCATTTATTCATTCTTGTCTATTGTCATCTGCTTGTCCATTCAAAGCATACACTCATATAGGGTATTATAAGTGTATCAAATAATGTATTATCAGTGTAGGCTATTATTCTGCAAATGCAGAGGTGGCATAACTAGTTTCAGACTCCTGAATCAGGATCAGCTTGAGCAATATAAGTGTGTATAAAACATCAACAGTTTTCTGTAAAAGTAAAGGGAAATCAGACTCATTTTCTATAAGCATTGCTTCAGAAGTTGTTACTGACCTGAGAAACAAACACTGAAAACTGCCACAAATGAAAGCAAACTCTTTATAAAGGTAGGCAAAACACTACTTGATATGCAACAGCTAGTTCAAACACACTGGCACAATGGAATTTCATCAGCAAAAGTTACTATAGTTCAGTAAAATGAAAGGAAAGTACTGAAAGGAAAGCAAGGGAATGTCAGAGAAGAAAAGAGAATCTTAGTAAAAAAAAACCAAACCAATGAACACTCATGTTAGGTCAGAAAGTGAGACCACTCTGTGTAGAGATCAAAACAGGACAAAGGACAAGATCGTTCCATTCTGGAGATTAAAGCCACTGGTCTAATAGTTTTTGCTGCCGTACTCTTATCTGTTCCTATGAACTAAACAGACCTTTGAAAGATTAATAGAACAATAGAGCTGACAATTATTTCTCCGTTACTCTGTCAAGACACTGAAAAGCACTGTTCAACTGAGACACCAACTATTTTGAGGATTTTGTAAAAGTCTAATTTCTACAAATGTTTCATTTATGTAGCTTTTACGACTGTCGTGGTTTACCCCTGGCTGGCAACTAAGCACCACGCAGCCGCTCACTCACTTCTCCCCCCACCATCGATGGGATGGAGGAGAGAATCGGAAGAGTGAAAGTGAGGAACTCCTGGGTTGAGATAAAAACAGTTTCATAGGACAAAACACATAAAAGAATATCATCGTCATATATAAAAAACAAGTGATGAACAGCACAACTTCCCACCCAAAGTCAATGCTACACAAGACCCCCAGCTGCCAGCCTCCCAGCCCACATGCGCAAGCAAAGCAAGACAAGGAATTCATTCACCACTTCTCATCAGGAGGCAGGTATTCAGCCATCTCCAGGAAAGCAGGGTTCTATCACACGCAACAGCTACTTGGGAAGACAAATGGCACCACTCTGAAGTCGATGCTGCTCAAGACCCTCAGCTGCCGTGCCAGGACCCCAGCTGCCCAGCTTCTCAGCACTGCCCCGCTTATAAAGGGAACATGACGTTGTATGGTATGGAGTTATCTCTTTGGCCAGTTTGGGTCAGCTGTCCTGGCTGTGTCCCCTCTCAGCTTCTCGGGCACCCCTCACCTTCTCGTTGACAGATCAGTATGAGAAGCTGAAAAGTCCTTGAGTGCTTGGCAACAACTAAAAACATCAGTGTGTTATCAACATTATTTTCATCCTAAATCCAAAACACAGCACTACACTTGCTGTCAGAAGGAAAATTATTAACTCTATCCCTGCCGAAACCAGGACAGTATCCACCCCGTGTAGCTGATGCATGTGGTGCAGTCCATCCTCACACTCTGCAGGTTGAGACGTCAATCTCAAGGAAGCTGCTGGGTGCTCGTTGCTGAAGCTGGTTCTGGTTTCATCACCTGTGTTCAGTTTCATCAGAGTTCATTCTTCATTAAACTGGATAATTCTTACTGTAA